GTGGAATGAGCTGAAGACTGAGTGGCGATGACAGGGAGCAGGAGCAGCAGAAATTCTGTGACTCGCAATGCGCATCTCAGGGCTTGGGAAGATAAACCAATCCGTTATTAACGAAATTCCTGGTGCGGTGATTGAAGAATTGTAGTGCCAAGAGCAAACTGATATGGCAAAGCAGGAACATCTGAAATGGCTCTTGATCATTTTGGTGATGTCCAAAGAGAAATCCTTTTTTGTTGTGTTTTTGTGGTTTTGTTTTTTGTTTTAATTTTCCTTCTCTCCCTTTCTCATTGCCTTGAGTTGCATAGCTGTGCCTCCTTTGTTCTTCCAAGGCTGTTTCTCCCAAGAAGCCACTAAGGGATTTGAACTCCCAGAAAGACGTGGCCTTTGGATTTGCAACACAACTCAGTATGGACTATATCACCAGAGCTCCTGAATATAAACCCTACTTAACTGTTTTTGCTATTTATTACATAATTGGGGTTAATACTTTATTGTTTTAATATTGGAGCTACTGAAGTATGTTACTATTTGCCTGCACAAAATGCGTGACTTCGTAGCTAAAACATTCCTAAAGATAAATACAGTACATATCTATGGACTCAGCGACGACATCAGGAGTGGAGGTAGACTCTTTGACAATCTGTGTTACATAGATGACACAACGATGCTTGTTGAAACTGAGGAGGACATGAATTGCTCGCTGCAGAGGGTCAAAGACTGTAGCCTTCAATATGAATTGAAGCTCAATATCAAGAAAACAAAGATTCTCACCACTAGCCTTATTGGCAGCACCATGATAGATCTGACAGCCTCATGATAAATGATAAAGAGATTGAGATTGTTATCAGCTTCAGTTTGCTTGGCTCCATAATCAACACTTTTGGTACCAACAGACAGTAAATCAAAAGACAAATTGCATTGGGAAAGTCTACTCTCAGAGAGCTTTCCAAAGTACTGAAGAGCAGCAGTGTCAGTCTGGCGACTAAGGTGCACCTGATTCAGACCATGGTCTTTGCAGTTGCTTGCTGTGGACAGTGACTAGGGATTATAGAAGGAGAATTGATGCCTTTGACTGTGGTGCTGGAGAAGAGTATTGAATATACCATGGACTGCTAGGAAAACAAACAGGTTTGCCCAAGAGAGGATGAGACCAGGCAACTCCTTAGAGGCAAGGATTCTGAAGCTTCATCTGACATACTTTGGACATGTTGCAAGGAGAGACCAGTCCTTGGAGAGGGATGTCACGTTTGGGAGAGTAGGGGGATAGCACAAGAGAGGAAGACCCCTGATGAGACTGATTGATTGATTCAGTGACTGGGGAATTGGGGTAGGTGTGTCAGAGACAATATGATTGGCACAGAAAAGAGCAGGGTATAAGGCTGTTGTGCATAGGGTCACACTGTAAGGCACAAGCAACTCAATTGCACATAACATCATCAATGGGCTCAGTAAATGTAATAATTATTTTTCATAAAGAGCAGTAATAAGAACTAGAATTTTTTTTTTTGGGAAAAACATATTGGGGGTACAAGGAGGTGAGAGTTGAGGGCAGAAGGGTGAGGATGGGCCAGGATGCAGTTGCAGAGCTGCGCAGTTTGGTCGGTGGGGGGATAGAATTTATTTTTTTTAATATTTTAATTAATTTATTTTTCATTACAATTTATTTTTTAACATCACCTTAGTGATCAGTAGGCATCTCGGGTCTTTTCCCACCATACTGTTCTGCTTCTGTCACCATAGTTCTCCAGTCTAGGTAGTGTAGTGCTCATCTCCTAACAGAAAGGTCGGCACTTCTGAAGAGGAAAGAGTTGAAGACTTTACTCAACAGAGTTTACATCCTGGAATACCTCTATAAGGCAGTTCTATTCTGTCCTGTAGGATTATTGTGAGCAGACGTGTACTCAATGGCAGTGGGTTAATTGATAGATAAGTAGGTACAAGGATCCTGGTGGCACAGTAGCCAAACAGTTGTTAAGTAAGAAGTCAGCGTTTTGAACGCACTAGCCTCTCTCTCTCTCTCCATGGGAGGAAATGTGACAGTCTGTCTCTGTAAAGATGTACAACCTTGGAAAGCATGTAAGGCAGTTTCACTCTGTCTTCTAGGGTCACTATGAGGCAAAACCAACAATGCATTATAATAGACAGTTATTATTATCCTTATGATGTCCCTCCTCAGCCCCATGAATGCCCTCTTAGACCAGCTCATACGTAAGATTTAGTAATGTTTGTTTTAAATTTAATCATATATGTTCTACATGTAACTGTAAATAGCTTCACTACAGTAATTTTTAGATTCTAAGAATAGTAACCACAACATTATTTGTAAAATCTTTCTTCATTGAATTTAATACAGATATAAGATTAGTAATTGAGCAAAAGGCTGCTCCCTACCCTGTTTTCCTTTTCCTCTAATTAGTATTTCGTTATAAAAGCATCAGATAATTTTATAAAAATCCACATTTAATACAACCGCAGAAATGTGATAAGCGCAGCATGCTTTTTAATGAGGGCATAATGACCACTCTGCAGTTGCACTGATGGCCTACAAACAAGCAGTTCAAGTCCACCAGCTGCTCCACGGGAGAGGTGGGCAGTCTCCTCCTGCGTGATTAACCGTCTCCTGAACCCTGCCGGAGGGTCAGCTGTGAGGTGATTAAGACTTAGTAACAATGAGTTGAGCTCTGACCAGTCAGTGGTTACACCCAAACCTACTACCTTTCTGTCAGTTCCAACTCATAGTGATCCAATAGGGCAAAATGCCTCGTACGGTTAGTGAGGTTGTAAATATAAAACTTGAGTGTCTGGTCTTTCTGCTTTGGAGCCCCTGATTGTTTCAAACAGCTGACATTTCATTTAGCAGCCCAACACATAACCCACTGTTCCAGCAGGGTGCTTTGGAAAGTTTACTACAAGAAATTAGCCTGGAGTTGTAGCTTTGAAGTGTATTGATGCATGAAATCTGGACTAATGAAAAGTGATTTTTGCTATTTTAAATAAATGTAGGGCTTTTTTTTTCCTTTGAAAAATTTGTTTCTTTTTATCTCAAAGTTTACAAACCATTATGTTTCATTAATCACTTATATTAATTTTATTTTAGAATCATTTTAGTTGCCTAATGTGATTAATTGACTGCTACTGTGGCTTAGTGGCAAGAGCTGCACAGCAATCCTGAAGGCACGTGGTTCGAAGCCACGAGGTGCTCTGCGGGAGAAGGAAGGGCATTCTCCTCTCGTGTGATTAACTGCCCCTGAAAACCCAGTGGATGGTCAGCTGTGGGTTGGTTAGGACTCACCGGTACACAGCACACTTGCAGTGTGACTCATTATTTACAGTGTCTGACCAGCCCCTTTCTACAGGGGTATATTTGCGCTTCTGCAGGGTATTTTTATAAAAGAGAATACATTTCTGCTAAAGCACAGCCAGAATTTTAGACAGTAATTTTGATGTCACTTCAGACAGTGCCAACACTCACCTATTAACACCGGTGACCTTCCAGCCAATTGATATCTGATTTTTGAGAGAAAGTTACAGCTTGTACTGGGAATTTGGACATTATCAGTTTATATGTTGTTGTTGGGGTCACCACTCAATAATGACCCTAGTATGGACAATACATCTGAACTTTGGCCTGCCCTGTGCCCGCCTCATCATTTCTGACATACTTGGGTCCATTGCTGCAGTCACTATGTCAGTCCATCTCTTTGGGGGGTCTTCCTCTCAGCTTACACAAAAGGAGGCTTAATGTAATTAAAGGTTAGATAATTAAGCAGAAGGTCAGTGGTTGGAACTTACTAGCTCCTCTGTGGGAGAAAAACATGCAGCCGATAAAGATGGACAAACTCCGAAACTATTTGGAAAGTCACCCTGGGTAAATCAACCAAATACCAGGGGATTTTGGTTGAATTTATTTAGGGAATATGAAGCCACTGACTAAATGCCATGAGCCAGAGTTGCTTAGAGTTGTGGAGAGCATTGATAACAACTGCTACTCACAAAGAGCGGCAAGCTTTGGAAACCAAACAAGGATCTGGAAAGTTAAGAGGAGAAAGTAGGAAGCAGTGTGCTCTAAATGCCAAATTGAATGGTCATTTGTTTCCTCTTTGAAACAGATGAGGGAGAGAACTGTTTAAAAGGGATAAATGATTAGGTATTGATGAGATGGATCGATTCTGTGACTGGAGCAGTGGGAATAAGTGCATTTGAGATGGCTAGGTTGGCACAGGATAGAACAGCATTTAGAGCTCTTGTACATAGGGTCGCTATGAGTCACAAGCGACTCGATGCCACATAACAAAAACAACAACATTGTCAGGACAGGGTCCAGAATGAAGGCTACATAACGGAGGAGACTTGGAGAGAGGGATTGTATAACAATGAAATAATTTTTCTTTCTACTTTTCAAAGAGAAGAGTGAATTGGAGGGGAGGGGTGGGCAGGGAGAGAAATGCAACAACAAATGAATGGAAATACAAAGTCTCTGTAAACATTCATTAAAATTAATAATTTTCATAAAAAGAGAAAAAAGGGATTGAATTGTCATAAAATCTAAAGTCTTGGAAAGACTAGATGCTTGCCAGGGAAGTTACAGTTCAGTGATTGAGAGATTAAGAGGGGTTGGGAATGAAGAGTTGAGATCAGAAACTCCTCTGCAATTTTGAGTATATTAACATGACTACATGATAAGAAGCTGCACTGCAATCCTGGAGGCACTTGGTTCGAATCTACCAGGTACTCTATGGGAGAAAGATGGGCAATCTCTTGTGAGATTAACTGCCTCTGAAACTCAGCTGGAAGATCAGTGGTGGGTCGGTTCCAACATGATGGTACACAACAACAACATAATACGGAAAAATAATTTGACTGGAATCTAGCAGCAAAGGGATGGTTAAGGGGCAACAGGATCTCATGTATATATGAACAAGTATCATCTGTCTTGAAATAAGATTTTTTTAAAAAACTCACAGCACTGTATGATTTGAAATGCTTTTTAAACTTTACAGAACATTGTACATCCATGGGCATACCAAGTTGGATTTCACAGTCTGGCATACTGCAATTGAAAAAGCAGCAGGTACAGATGGTAATGCATTGCAAGACCAGCAGCTCAGCAAAAACGACGTTCCCATTATCGTGAACAGCTGCATAGCGTTTGTTACACAGTATGGTAAGTATCAAAGGGTTTTTAACTCAACCCCCAGAACTCAGTCTTCTCCGTACAGTTTTAAGTGGTACTTCTGATCTATTAGAAAAAAACTCTTTTATATTTGTAAGTGGACTAGTGCAAAAGAAAAGCATGGTCAGTCACTGTTCAGCTGTGTGATAATCTACCCAGTGACAATCATTCACACTATCAACTATATTGTGTTTTAAGCTGTACTTATCATTTCCTTAGAAGACTTAAGTAACATATTGAAAGAAAGTGTATAATAAAACATGTTTAAAATAGTAGATTCCAGTTTATATTCTTCAGAGATGAGAATTCTAAAAAAAAGTTCTGAGTATAATGTGCTTGGTGCATTTTCAGAATTGTGAGCGGATAAGTTATACTTATTTCCTGTGCATATCCTGTGTGTGTGTGTGTGTGTGTGTGTGTGTGTGTGTGTGTGTGTGTGTGTGTGTTCACGCGCATGCGCACGCGTACTCACTTATTATTCAATGGATTATATGTTTGTATTAAAAACATTATTAATTTTAATATTTTTCCAAATATATGTTTATATCTCTTGTTTGCTAGTAATTAAACAAAACAAAAACCAATAGGCCATAATCTATACCTATATTTTAAATTTCATATGCTGTGGGTATATTTTAGATAACTGTGGAAAGTAATCTTTATTTTACTTATGTATGTGATTAAATGATTTTGAATCTTTTTAATTTTTTCCTAATACTACATATTTTTAATACTACAAAAGGTAGAAATTTTTCAACTATAATTTGACAGCAGCTTATACCTTGAATATATAGATATGTGCCATTTATTTAGATTACAACCACATAACAACAGCACCAACTTCTACATATGTATATAATCATTTATGAAGTTTCTTCATATAGTAGTTTGTTTCTAGTCTTTCTGTAATGGTCTGTTATTTGAATACACAGGAGAGAAAGAATGTTACTTTTCTCATGTATGACCGTCATTCTTTGTTAAAGAACTTGCATTTTGTAGGTACAGGTGAGTTGCACACATTTTATTCTTTATCAAGGGTAAGACTTCATTGAGAATTGTCACATATTGTTACTTTCATAGTGGCATTGAGTCCTTCTTAAACTGGCAAATTACAGAAATTACTAGACTTCAGTGTAGTCAGTTTACTAGCCCTCTGGGGAAATCAGAAGTTGCCTTGTGGTGTGGATTTGAATTTAAAATCATCAAGCATCAGATTGTTTTCAATGAGATTTCATATATTTAACTTTATTGCTCTAACACAAGTTGAATTATCTTGCATATTAAAGTGATAAAAACAATGGAAGCTTAGGAATGAAGCTTGTGTTTTCTTGCAATTTTTTTGTTTTGGTTTCTGTTTTGCCTTTTGTGAGCAATTTTGAGGACAGTATCAATTTTACCCACAAGGGAATATATATGATGCGAATCTAGACTAGCCCAGTGCAAGTGACTAGCCTCAGGGCTTTTAATAAAGCAGTTATTTTGATTTTTAAGCAAATATTCTCTGAGAGAATCAAGATCAAAAGGCAGAAACTGCAGAGCAGAATTTCATATTCTCATGGACTGCATACTTTCTAGATCTCTGGAGGCTTCATGAGTTTCTGACATTTTTGCCCCAGGATAATTTTTAACCTTAAGCAAAAATTAGTCAACTTTAAGAAGTAGTCTTAAAACCAAAAAGTAGTTCAGTATAAAATGTTTGCCAGGAGCATTGTATACTTTTAAGAGCTCTTTCTGTTGTTTTTCTATGCCGTTGAGTCAACAGTGACTCATAGCAACCTGCTAAACAACATAACTGAACCTTGCCTTCCCCTACGTCATCCTTATGATGTCCCATATGCTCAAGCCTGTTGGTACAGTCATCTGTCTTGTTGAGGATTTGACCCTCTCCCTTTCCCAGATGAAGCTTCACCATCCTTTCCTCTGGGGAGCACCCTCGTTACGCTTCCTCCAAGACAAACTTTGTTCCTTTGGCAGACCGTGGCATATTCTGTATTCTTCACCAACACCGCAATTCAGAGGCATTGGTTCTTCTGTCATTCTCATTTCTTGTCCAACTCCCAGATTTATAGAGAACAATTGAAAAGACTGTGACTTTGATCAGGTTCATGTTAATCTGTAAAGTGATATTGTTGCTCTTTGGCATATTAGAGAAATCCTTGATGTCAGAGTTCCTAATGGAACAGGTCTATAGAAGATCAAATTAGTAACTGAAACTGGAAAAGTTAAGTAGGAATTTGGTGAGTTTATGGTAATGGAGGAGGAACAACCCTGAGATTGAGGGTGAGAATGGTTTCACAGCTCAACGAAAATACACATTCTTGCTGAATTTTATGAGGAGAAACTGTTATGTTGGTCTAAGTTATATTGATAATATTTTCGACAACTAAACATAGGAAATACTTAACAAATGCTATGTTTTTATGTCCATAAAAATACTTAAAAAACTATTAGACCTCACTTCAAATTCTCTCTCATTGAGAAGGAACCAATTCATAGCAACTTTCAGTGAGTTTTCAGAGACCGCAAAACACAAGTGAGGAGATAGTCTATCTTTCTCTCCCAGAGATGCAAAGCACCAAAGAGATGTGGCCTTTGCCACAAGTAGCTAGCAAGTGTTAGGGAGGATATGCAGAACTCTGAACTCTGTGCTTTTTCTCTGAGACTGTAAACTGGGAAGTCTCTATGGAAACAGTTTAGCAGTTTCTCAAAAAGTCACAAGTGAAAGTACCATATGATCTAACAATTCTTCTGCTAAGTATATACTTGTAAGTTTTATGAGCAGGGCCTCGAGTGGAAATCATTGATGCAAAGAAAATATGTTCTCATTTATATTATTTGAGTACCAGCTATTAAAAAATTTACTCAGAAATGTAATCTCAGAAACATAGTTGCCTTTTGTACAATTTTTTTCTTCCTTGCATTCAGCAAGTTCCATAGAGCATTGTCAGTTGCTAGGTATTTGCAGAGATACGTACGGAAAACGAGACATAATTCTTGCCTTCCCATAGGTTTTGTATTTCTAGATGAAAGACCAAAAAGTGAACATAAAGTTTTAAGATTTTATGATATTATATGTTGGAGAGATTTAGGAGTTGCTCTAATGGCTCAGGGTTAAGAAGCTGTGCTTTAATCCCAAATGCATGCAGTTTGAATCCATCATCTGCTCTGCAGGAGGATGGACTATTCCTCCTATGTGATTTCCTGCTTCTGAAACTCTGCTCGAGGGTCCACTGTTGAGTCGGTTCCAACTCAGCAACATACAACAGCAACGTAGGTATTGATACCAGAGAGTTTAGTGGTAAAGATTTTAAAACCATGCAGTTCTAATCCAACAGTACAGGAGAAAGGTGAGCAGTCTTCTCCCATGCAATTTAATGCCTCTGGAGGGTCAACTGTGGTCAATTCTGACTTGATGGTACACTGTTGTTGTGTGTTGTCGAGTCATCTATGACTCATGATGGCCCTCTGCACAATCTCACTGAACCCTACTCTATCCTGAGCCAGTCTCACTGTCTCTGACACACCTCCCTTCATTACTCCGGTTACTGAGTCAATCCATCTCATCCGAGGTCTTCCTCTCCTCTGCTGTACCTCCAGCCTTCCAAGCATGGTGATGTTCTCCACAGACTGGCCCCCTTGGCAAAAAAAGTATTAATTAGGGTCTGTCCGATGATTCGAATCTACCAGTTGTTCTGCTGGAGAAAGCTAGCCAGTTTCCACCCATATAGTTTACAGCCTTGGAAACAGACTGGGGTGGGGGTGGGAGTGTTCTGCATTAGTTAGTTCCAGCATAGTGACAGTAAACTTGCGTTCAGTATGGTGGTAGTGTATACTGTTGAGTCCTGACTGACCCATAGCTTATCCTCTGGCAGGTTTTCAGAGGCAGTTAATTGCATGGGAGAAGAGTGTCCATCCTTCTCCAGGAGGGCAGCTGGTGGCCTCAAACCATGTTTCTTTCGAATTGCAGCACAGCTTCTTGCCACTAGGCCATCCAAGCTTCTTTGTTTGTGGTATAGGAATAAATCTTACCCAGATCACAGATGGTCACAGAGTTTTAACAGAAAGACACGGGAACCTGAGCCTAAAGAGAAGATTGGAGCAAGGTCGCAGAAGATAGAAGGACTTCCAAAAGGAGAAAATAAGTGTATCGAAGCACAGGATATTGAGAAAAGATTAAGAAACTTTGTGTGCATAGTTAAGTGTGACCAGCAATTGAAATATAAAGAGGCAAAAGAGTTCACTCCTGTATTTTCCTTGCTCACTCAGTTCCATACTAGATATTTCATAATTTTGCATCCACATTTTCTTAGTTTGTGAAAAGTATAGAAAGGAGTTGAGTACATCGAAATAATAGGGGGAAAAAAGAAATAATAGCATGTGGAAGGAGACAAGGGAAGATTTTTGAGAGAGACCCTGAATATACGTGACATATTCCTCCCTACTTTTATTGTGATTTTAGTGCCTTTCCAAGAAAATTGGATTTTCTTTTA